CTCTAGTCCACATCTTTGGTTTGGTTTTGTTGTTGTTGTTGTTGTTTTTCCTGAAAGGCATCATTGTAATGTGTCCTTGCATGGTAGTGCCTCATCCTGCTCATTCTGCACCGGTCACGATTCTCCAGCAGTCATGCAAAAGACTGACACAACTACATGGCACTCTAGGGGCAGTCAAAAGACGAATAATGATTCAGAATAAACTACCCTAGGGTAAGGAAGAGCCTGTACATTTTTCTTACAGGATATGCCCTATTTCAGCAAGCCTGTAAACTGCTTTATCCCCACTGGCGAAAACAGCTGCTGCCTTCCATGCTTCCCAGGATGGCTGCAACCCTGTGACACCAATGCTATGCAGCACTAATGGAGACAGGGCCTGGGGGCAGGGGACTGGCGTTACTATTTCCCTGGCCCCCAGTGAACCTTTGCCTGCTCATTCTGTTTGCATTTCCTTACAACAATCTTCCTTATCCCATGCTCATCTCATGCTCTGGCAGCGTGCCGAGGGGTGGTGCTCACTGCAGCAGCCAGCATGATGGCTGATCGCAGTGCCATGGGGTCATCAAACCTGGCTCCCTTTGGACACACAGTGTGGGGAGGTAACTGTGGCATTCAGGTGGCCAACCTGATTGTCATGTTTCTCCCTCCTGGGCAATGGTGGTTCCCTGAGTCACTGCTGGGCCATCTTAGGAGCCGCCTGCTGTCTGAATATGACCCAGGTCCAGCTTGCCAGTCTCAACCCCTGTGAGAAGAATAAATACAAAGAACATAGAAGCAGAAATTAATGAGCACTGGCCCAAATTGTAAACTCCCTCAGTGCAGAAGACACAAGAAGATTAGCAAGAGTGGCAGAACAGTGAGGATAAAAGACGGTCCTGTAAAGACAGAACAGCCACGACTATTAATGGGATTCCACAAGAAAACCGTATGATGTCTTACAGACTTCCCAGTGCCTTCCTGGCCGCTGCTGAGAGCTCCCAACACATACCATCTATTGGGAAGGAAAAACCAAAATGAGGCTCTCTCTTAAGTGTAAAGAACAAATTGCTTTAAAAGGTAAGCCTAGGTTTGGTGTTCTCCCAAAATATTATGAAATAATGGAAGTTAAGAAAATAACATTTTGGTAACATCTCTTTCTATATGTGCTATGCAGACGCATTGCCATGGTGTGCCAGTGGGCAGCCCTGTTCTCTGCCAGCGCACAACAGAACTGGCACCACTACACCTGGAGGAGTTGTGTAAAACCTTCATGCCTATGGTGCCCAGCAGATGCACAGCCCTGCCTCACTGGTCATAAGGTCCTGGTCTGAGTGACTCTGAAACTGCACCTGTGAGGAACTGGCCTCCCATCACATCGCATCACATCAAAGGAGAGCTGCAGGCACTCTTGCTGCACTCCTCAGAGCTGAGGCTCAGATCAGTGCTTAAGTAGGGTCTATTTTTTCCAGGGGTGGTTGTGGTGGAGAGGCATGGCTGCAGAGCGTTACATCTGTTCATGCAGAAATGGAAAGAATGCTTTGGCTTTCCCACTTACAAGGAAATGCTGGCTTTTTATAGAGCACAGGTGGCAAAGTCCAAATTAACAAATAGACAGAAAGCATTGCGATGGCAAACAAATGAAATAAAACCAAATAACTTTCTTGGCATATCTCCTGTACATTCCAGCCACTTTTCAGGCTTTTACACAATATCTAGTGGTTAAATACATTGATAGTTTTCTCTGGAAAAGGGAGAAGGACTTCTTTTATCACAAGGCAAGAATCCATGAACCTTTTCTTCATGTGATTCACTGTGAAAACATGCAAATTCTGGCTACTCACGGTTAAGATTTTCCAGAGTTCACTCACTCAAGTGAAGACTGAGCCCTACTTCTGCCAGCTCTAATAAACCCCTGCCTTGGTTTCCATTTTATGGCTGCTCACCTGTGTGAGGAAGAAAGAAAAACTGCTTCTCCCAGCTCACAGAGGCAGAGCTCCTGACCCTACTGTTCCCGTTCTTTCTTTGAGGAAATACTATGAGTAGGTCATGACCTTTTGTATCCTAATGCAAAAAATAGATCTCAACTGTCATTTAAACAGAGCAAAGAAAGAAGAGAGAATGGTAACCCTGCAGGAGAGGTCTGACAATGGGTAATTTGACAGGAAGGCATGAGCATGCTGTGATCATTGTATTATACAGTGGGTTTTTATCACTGTTATTCTGGGACTTATAACGGCTGATCATGATTCTTTTTGTCCCTTCTGGTATGTATCCTGTTGGCTACAGAAATCTGTTTTGCTTATCTTTGAGGCTGGTTATATTTAGACTTCAGAGCTGGCATGCTTATGGCCTAGTCCCAAAGCCACCAGCTATCTGCACTGGAACTGGGGCTGGGACAGACTGCATGCTTGATGGTCTGTGCATCCATCAGTCCTTTTGTGTGGGGTATAAGTGCCTACACCACCCTGGCAGGGCATGGCCAGGATGCATTTGTGAACCAAAGTTCATACACATCTTGGACCTATAGTTTAGATGGAGCCAAAGTCTAACTTTGAGGAGAGGGGTTCCCTTTGATGGAAGCAATATTTTAGTAACACCTGCCCACTGTCTGCTGCACAAGAGGTCTTTCAGAGCATGCCATCCAGTGAACTTTATTTCATAGAGTTTCTTCTAGAAACTACTTCATCTGACTGTGGTTAATGTAGTTAAACAAAAGCTAAATGAAAATGAATGCCATATAAGCAGCTGGTTCTGTACAACTTGTGACAGATACTTGAGAAACGCCCTTTAGTTGCTGGAAGGTATTTCTCCTTGAGATGTTTTGCATATGTGTCAGCTGATGAAAATCCTGCCTGTATTTCTGTAGCCACAGGTGATTAGGAATTTCTCCCCTGGTGTAATTCAAACCTACCAGGCTTCTCCCAGGACAGGTCAAGTGAACAGAGAGAGACCTTTGCATGTTTGATTGTATATGACTGAACAAGATCTGCTTCATTTGTGCTTTATCGGGGCTATAAAACTTGGGTCTGTGTAGACAGCATAAGGTAAACTTAAACTACAAGTCAGGTTCCACGTTGCTGTTTCCTGAACTGCGAAAGTCAGCAGTCTCTCAGTTCACTGAGCTCTGGGTAGGCACGGACCTCTTGGAGACAAAGAATAGGAACCTCCAAACAATGCAAGTGGCTGAGACTCCAGTGGTGTCAACATTTTCCCACAACACTGCCATTACCTTTTTTATTGTAATTACTATCAAATTAAAATATCAGTTTGTTCTGGTGTGAGCTGTTGCTTAGCTTACTTTGCAGCAGAGTGTACTAAGGCCTCATTCATTCACTTTATAACTTATATATTACCAACCAGTTGGAAAATGATGACAGATTAGCATCCTGTTCTGCTCCGTTTAGGAGCTGACGTTCACTGACTTGCAATAACCGCGTGTTTGCATAGTGCCTTTAACTCCAAAATATTTTAGTTTTACATGGCTTACGGGTGGTCATTTCTATCAGCCTTGAAGTACAGTGACTTCAGGGTTGGAATGTGGCAGTCAGTTACCAGCACATGCTATAAAATAGCACATTGTGTGAATATCTTATCCATATGAAACTGCAAACAGAATTTAAGCAGGCAGGTATTCGATTCAGAAACCAGGCTACTACCCCTAAGTCTTATTCTTACTACAAGATATTCAATGGCCACAAAAACAAGTTCTGTGTTTCACCTCTGTTTTGTAGAACAGCATTTCCTCTTCAAGGCTTCTGCTGTGACCCCAAACCACCACTATGCATCAGAAAAAAGAGGTATTCTGTTCTTTGTTTTATATAGGAGACTGGAGATTACAATGCAAAGAAATGAAGTAATTTGAAGACTACAAAATGGGTCATTGGCAAAGCTCAGATTGAAGCTTAGCTCCCCTTCCCCACACGCCTCTACAACTTTGTGTACCTAACAAGACACAGCTTCAAACACATCATTTTTGAACTTTCACAGTAAAGAAGCAGTTCTGCTAGTTTATTGTTTTTCTTTGGCTTTGCATCAAACTGAACATGCCGTGCTCTGATTTATTTTATACTTACTGCCACCCTGAGGGGGTTGGTTATCCAATGTGTGGGCGCCATAGAAATTAAGTTTTAAGCTAGCGTGCACATTTTTGGATACAAAACTATCAGAAAGATGAGAAGACTGAAACCTAGGTCTTGTTAAAAAAAAAAAGGGGGGGGAAGGGGTGAGGGGAAGGGAACAGTCACTTCTCTCCTATCTCTCTGTGGTCCCAGTCCAGTCCAGTAGGAACTACTGGCTCCAAGCAGGCTGTCCAGAGTTCTGGGACAAACAGCCAAAATCACTGTTTCTCCATCCAGACAAAATTTGGGGTGGAAAAAGGACATACCCAGGGACACCCAGATGAATAGCAGTCCCTAACAATGCCAACTTTTTCACTCCCCAAGTTGTTTACACCCACAAAATTAATTGTGGTGCCAAGTGGCAAGGAGAGTTGGGACTCCCTTAAATGTGTGGTCTTTATTGGGAAGGCCAAGTGAAATCATTTGGAATTATTAGACACATTAACAATGCCTGGGGGTGCCGTATACAAATAGCTGACACCTTCAAGGACTGATGCAACGAGGATGGACAAGAACGTGAAGCAAGGATGGTGGGAGGAAAGGTCTTTTTAGATGTATCCAAGGTAGAATAAGTTTTATTACTGGGCTAGAAACGTATAGTATCCCAGGAGTGAATAGCTCACACATTTGATCTGATCTTGGGCTCAGTCCAGCTCCCACTGAAGTTTAATGGGAGTTGGATCAGGCCATTGCACTCACATTTTTTCCATGCATGGAAAACTATTTCCGTTACTTTGAATTACAATACCACTGGCTTTGGATTTTATATAATAAAATAAATCTAGGCCACTGTTTATATTCCAAGAAACTGCATTCTGGGATGCCAGCAAATATATTGCCTGTTGGAGTTAAAAAAATAAAATTAAAAACTGGACACATTGGTTTAAAAAAACAACGGCTCCTAATTATTAAACATAATTTTTCTTCCTTCTGCTTTTCTGGAGTCCTCAAATATTTGAAGTATGAAAGGTATATATAAATTCTTCTCTGGTGGTTGAAATGGTGGAATCTGTAATAGTGCAGTATTTTATAAGAAACAGAGGTATAATAAAAAAAAAAAATCTTCACAACTGCCTCTTTGCTTATTGGCATATTTTGTGCATTTTTAAAATTTACAGTTAGAAACCCCCTTGGATTGCCAGTAAGAAAGAGGATGTATGTTAGCAAAGCCTTGTATTTTTGGGACTGGCCTTTCCTAATTGTTCTCTGACTGCAGATGCCAGGAGGCACAGGAAACGTCTTGTGCTAGAAGGAGCATTTGTCCCCTGGAATTGGACTCCAAAGCGTTAAGACTGTGTAGTAGGTATCGGTGATGGCTTCTGTCCTGGTACAATTTTATTATACTGTTATATACCAACAAAAAGTGCACAAATGCACTGAAGTGGAGAACTTATGCCCACGTTCTGGGAGCAAACTTACCTGTAGTTTATGCTGGGGAAGAGCAAGGCCCCTGGACTCTGAAATATAAAGCAGCAAAATAAAGAGCCCCAAAAAAGAATAAAACAAAACCACACATATACAAAAGCAACAGAGGGATAGAGATTTCATTGAGGGGTGTTTAATATTAAAGAGAAACTATACATCTGGGACGGTGGTGAGGAGGATTCAACAGAGCCAAACGAGGTGACCAGCTGCACCCACTCCAAAGAGGGAAGATGGCAGCAACATCAGGAGCGCTTATGCAGTTGTGTGCACAAAACTTCTTGTCAGAATATGAAGTATATCTCCTTTGCAAATGTCTCTGGCATTGGCAACTTCTCTTCTACAATGACAAGTTTCAGCATGGGATTAAAAGGAGTTCTCTCTCTTGTATGCTGCCATGTAGACTGAGCTGGACACCTTTCCCCTGTGTCCTAGCAGCGTGGAGGAGCAAAGTGCTGGCTTCACTTGGACTCCCAGCCACAGGTCTCACTTTCCCTCCTCACAGCAGCATGCAGACCTTCCACTGCCATGCTGTGGGCTTTGCAGCATCCAGGAATGCTTTACACGACTGTGGAGTTTAAGCTGTGTTCTTGTGCATGAGCCTTGGACAACTTTCCCTTTCACATGACAAAACCCTTTAGAGGGATCAAGAATTGGTTCCAAAATCCCCATTGGGGTTTAGTGGCAGGGCTTGACAGTTGAACAACCAGGACTCTGCCACACCTGGCTGTAATTTCAGATGTCCAGAAACAATGCAAAATGCAGAGATGCAATGCTGAGATAGCAGGGAGCACCCACCCTTCTCCTTGCTGCCAATTTGGTTTCTGTTGTGAAATGGTGTGTGTGTGTGTGTGTGTGTGTGTGTGTGTGTGTGTGTGTGCGTGCGTGCAGGGGGTTCACTCTGTCAGCACCTCTGTGGCCTCTTCGCTCTGCCTGGATCCTCCGAGGGGAGATGCACACACATAAACTCCCCGTCAGAAAGGGTGGGATGGCAAAGCAGCCGGCTTGACGGGGGAAATCTCAAAACCAAAATGTCTCTTAAATAAGCTTCTTTAATTATTATCATCATCTGTTTATTTATACAAATATAAAATATATTTATATAGATTTATATAATATAGATTTGTTGCTTTGGCGGCTCTTTTCATTTACAGACGTACTGGTCAACGATCTCTGTGCACTTTTTACACTTGACGTAACAGCACCAATGGAACTTGCAGTGGCAACGCTCCACCTGAACGCTCTTGAATTGGTCGTAGCCCCGTCCGCAGCACATCAGCTCGCACCCATCCATGCCCTCTGAGGTCTTGTTGCACAGGCGGCCCTGCGTGCCCAGCGAGCCGGTGGTCTCATTACGCAGGCAATAGTCCGGGCTGGGGTCGACGTAGACCAGGTCCTCCTGTGTGGGCATGTTGAAGCGGTTGTTCACAAGCTCCAGCTTGCCCTTGCGACTGATCCGCATGGCGGCCGCGCTGTCGTACTTCTCCTTCAGCAGGTCGCCCACCTTGCGGAAGTCTGCCAGCTGCAGCCAGCACGTCTTGAGGCTGCAGGAGCCCGACACGCCGTGGCACTTGCAGGCCACATCCGCCAGCTTGTATACGGCCTGTGGGAAAAGGAGCACGGTCAGCAACGAAGCATTCTCACTAACCCAGCAGCTGGCATTTGGTACAATGAATCCACAATCACATTTTCATAACAGCTTCGATTATACCCCTCTTTTCTGCTGTTTCATCCTTCAGAAGAGATAAAAATCTCTTCTTCCAGCTGCAATCTGGTTCCCTAAATATTTCTGGTCACACTGCTAACCATGGCTTCCCTCACCCCATCTTCTTTTCCTCTGGCAGACTGTTGACTTGATGGCATGGTCAGGAACGAGAAAGACCATAGGGAAGAGACCTATCCTTGTGCTTCTGGAAATTCCCCATGCCCCATGGACCACCTTACTGCATATTTTTCCCTTCACAGTTGATACAAGGGAACACCTGGAAGCCTGTTCATTTCCTGCCAACTAAAACAGGAACTGATGCTATCGCTCTAGGAATAGATCTGCGTCCTTTTGGAATAAATCTATGAACCTATGCCTTTCCTTCTTTCTCTGCTGAGGATCTCATTCCCTGTGGTCTCCAGAGGGATCCTTGTTTTTCAGAGAACAAGGAGCAGAGATGGTAGCCACGGTGTGGAACTGACAGAGCCGTCCACATCTCTTCAATGCGTTACCAGTCTCCCAGAACAGCAGATACGCAAGCCCGAGCTGCAAATTTGCGCCATCTCGTGTCCATACACTGCACTGCACTAAAATCACTGGTGCAAAGCGGAAGGGCATACGCTTCAAAAAGCAAACATAAAAAGCTTTTTGGTATTGTCTTCTCTGAGATACCTTAAGTTCCGTTTTAAAAAGTCTAAGAGAGGCGTAAAATGCATCACCTCCCTGAAAAAATGCAGCACCCTGTACTGCAAGGAAGGACACCAGAATTAACAAATGGTCTTGAGAATTTATGCCAGTGAGTGTAAAACCCTCAGCAGAGCAAATATGTGATGTAAAGGAAAACAGCCCTCGCTCTCCTTCTTCCTGCACTAGCTGGGAGGAGAGAGAGAAATTTAAAAACATTTTAGAATAACACAGCTCAAAACCAATGAAAAAAAAAAAAAACCAACCCTCAAGTGCAGGTCAGGTTTGTTCTTTCCATTAATTTCAGATGCAGGTACCAAACTGCTGGCTATTTGAGACCCTGTCAGCGCTAACAGGAACTCGGAGTTTACAAAGTGAAGAGCTGGCATCCGCGTTCAGTCAGAGCTACCAAGTGTTCAGCATTTGACTTCCAGAGCTCTTTACGCTTTACATATGAGGCTGACATCTGCTCTCTCATGGCCAACTTGCCTCTTGCACATTTGCAGGGCACTGCCTCTGCCAAATCCCACATGCCAACTATTTGGCATTGGCTGCAGAATTACCACCAGCTGCAACTGGGGTGGGGAGATCAAGGAACGTGAGAAAAAATAGGATGTTTTGAAGAAGTTGGCGATACGTCTTCTAGCCAGGCTTTTTGCTGAAAAAAAGCAGCCAAAGTCTGAGGTTCCTTTCCTGCCTCACTCACGGACAAAGAAGAAAGTTTCTCAGCTCTCCACATTCGCTTGCCAAGAAACAAGCGATTAAGGCGATCCTGCAAACAAAGCCTTCTGCGTATGACTACACTGCGGACTAGCAGGGAGAGGTCAGAGTTCTCCTAAAGCAACTGGCGGCTCCTGCTCTAACAAACACCTAGTGCTTCTCACAGCTAGCGAAGATGCAATTGGGCTTAATGGCTAAATCACACGGAGGCCGACCCAGCTCCCAAGAAAGTCAATGGGCTGAGTCCTGAAAACAGAGGAGCTTTAGTTCTGCTCCTTGGAGCTCAATTTGTGGAGGCGATCACTTGCAGTGCAGACTAACAGCTACAGGCCGGGAGTTAAGTGGTCGTCTTAGATTGAAGGGTAAGTGTGGAGGACCAACCACACCGCTACTTAAGGACTCCTGCTGCACTACAAGCAGACAGAGCTACAGCTGAATTTCCCGAGCCCCAGACACTTACTATATCCTCACTACATTGCCAGTCTGCTTGTTATGAGCTTTAGTTAGCACTTTTTGGTTATGGTTCCATCAAATCCCAGGCCACTCATGCCTCCTTTGCCCTTGCATATGTTTTTATAAAGTATTCTGATTCTTCCTAATCCTAGGCTTTGTTCCTTTAGAAAAACACTGCAACCTGATCTCTCTCAGCTAATGTCATGGGGCTGAGTTCACTCCGACTTGGCTATAAGCAACTGATGCTCAAAACATCTGGCCCGTGTGGGTGACGGCCATGCGGGGGAACGCGAGCGCTACCAGCTAGCACAGGTAAGCATGGCGCCACTCAGCCCCCGCCATCAACATCCCTCTGAGTTAACCCCAGCTTCAGCCTCCAAATGGCTCTCCCCTTGGCTGCATGGATGGGGAGAACACAGAGGAAATTGGCGGGCTCCTCTCTGACTGGGCGAGGGTCAAGGTAAAGAATAACAGACCCCACGTGTACTTCTGAACGCAGGGTCTGATTGATGGCCGCACCACTTAAGCAGGTTGAGAATGTGTCTAATGGAAAGGCTTAATGCCCCTTCCCATAAGCCCAAGTTCTCTTCCAATTCTTTTCTTGCAAGAATGGGAACAGGAAGAGAATTAATGGGGAATTCCTATGTGGTCAATTAGCCAGACCCCCTTCCAGGCTCTCCTGGCACTGGCTTGAGTGACTGATGACTGAGGCCTGCCATATGCTGACTGGGTAAATAGTACGGAAGGACTGACCGCCACAGCCTGCCAGACAAGGGTGACAGATAAGGAATGGGAGAAAGAAGAGAGGCTAATGGAGACCAACTGGAAAAAAGAGACAGATGGAAGGAAAGAGCATATTGAGATAACAGCCAAAGACAAACAAACAAGAGCAATAAAGCCAGGAGCACTGCCACACGGACTGCGACGTGGAGTGAAGGGGTGATGGGGTCAGAAGTGCCTGAAAGATAAAAGGACTCAGCTTCCTTCCCAGCTCTTTCAGCTCCTCATGAGAAGTGCTGAGAGCAGGGATGATCCTCTCTCCTGCCCTCAGAGCTTCACGGGGTTCAAGAGAACTGTCTCACCTAGAGGAAACTGAGCAGAACACCTGCCAAAAACCTGCCTAGAGATCAGAAACATCATCCACTCAAACACAGGCTGGGAAGTGGAAGCAAGGCTGCACAAGGGATGGCAGCTGGTGGTCACTTAGCAGTGCTCACCGCCACATCCCCTTCCAGTGCTCCTTTCCTGCAGCAGCAATTTCAGGAATATGGACTTACATATACACCTTCTTCTTTGCAAAACCAGAATCTCAGAAGTGAAAACATTCAGGAATGTAGGACTAGCTGGGACCTCCTCGGTTATTAAGTACAATCTCTTGCTATTGTAGGCACTACTTCAAGTAATGCTTTTCTTAAATGTATTGAGTGCCCTTTTTAAAGCAATTAGGTTTTCAGGCACCATTATTCTGATCACTATTCCAATGATAAAGTATCTTTTTCTAATTTCCAATCTAAGCATATTCACTTTATGCCCATTTGCTCTTGTGCCAAATTGGCCTTTTGCTTAAAAAGTACTTTTCCTTAGCTATTATTTCTCCCACTAACATAGACATCAGTCATATCCTCTCTCAGCTTTCACTTTGCTAGGCTAAACATGGCAAGCTGTTCTAGCCTGCTTTCTTAAGAAAAGATTCTTATCCCATGGGTCAAGCACAACAACCCTTCTCTAGTCTGGGGTCATTTTACTCGGGAATATGAGAGCATACAATATTTTGGGGCCTTACAAGAGCTTAATACAATAGCATTACTATTCCCCCATGTTTTACAGAAAGACTTTCCTTCTTATGTTGCAGGGTACTTGCCACCTTAGGAGACACGCTGCATCTGCTGTCACCTACAGCTGACAGCTGCACACAACTCCTTTCTAGTTTTCTAATGAGAAAAAATGCTTTTCATACAGGACCCTGAAATGATTGTTTTAATGTAGTTTTGTTCAATGTGAAATTAGTTTCTTCTCTGCATTCATAATATCTGCCACCTCTGCATAATCAGCAAATTTCATCATCCCACTCCTAAACTCTTGTGCCAAGGCTAAGAAGAAAAAATATTAAGCGTAGAGGCAAGTCCTTGAAGAACTCTGCTAATTAAACTTCGCTGAGATCAATATGCATCTTTTCACACAACTTACTGACATCTTGCCTTGAACCAGTTTCTTATGCATCTCACAGTCACTGTATCCCTTATCTTTTCCAATCTAACCAAGTGTTTTCGTGTGGGAAATATATGAATTATCTCACAGAAGTTCAGCTAAGTCATTTAGCTGTCATTAAATTTATTTTGTCTTCCAGTAAATCAATGATGTTCTAAATGACTGCATGATCAATCTTTGAGAAATCTGAGATGTCCTCCTGTAAACACAACCAAGGTCACTCTGCCCGTGCTACCAGGTGCCAGCTCTTTCAGAATGCCAGGGCATTAAAAGGACTCTCCCTGTGTCTTGAGGGCTTTAAGCTTCTCCATTTTTGCTTCCACTTTGGTGGTGATCATTTCCAGTTCCCTTTGCTGCCATGTCAACATGTTAACATTTCCAAGGAAATGCAAGGAAAGGCTGCCTTTCCTCAGAATTCCTAGCAAATTCACTTCAGATTTGTCTCAGGCTAGATCAATTCATATTCATCTCCTTTCCTGACCCCAGCATCTCCATTCCTCACTACCCTCAAACCTTCATCTATCTAATCCAGCCCAACACCCCTGTGCCATTTACTCTAAAGCCCTCCATTCTCCCAGCCCTTTGCTGCCACTGCTTGAATCCCATCTGAATCACAGAATCGTAGGGGTTTCATAGATTTCAGAGAATTGTCTGATTGGAAGGGACCTTTAAAGGTCATCTGGTCCAATCCCCCTGCAGTGAACAGGGACACCCACAGGTAGATCAGGTTGCACAGAGCACTGTCCAGCCTGACCTTGGGTGTCTCCAAAGATGGGGCATCCACCACCTCTCTGGGCAACCCATTCCAGAGCCTCACTGCCATGATGTTGAATGTGACCTCTGGAGATCATCCATTCCATTCAACCCAATCCCAAAAGCCTCTCTGTCAGCAGCCCCCTCCACGATCCCACCCATTCCAGGTCTGCTGGCACCAAACATCAGTACTTGCTGTTCAGCTCCTCTTCCCCTACCTATCTGAGAAGAGCTGCTTCCTCCTGACTTTCTCACTTCCACATGGTGCCAGCAGCATCACCACTGCCTGTCCCCGGGGCACTCTGCCTGGCTGTCCCCAGAAATCACAGTCTCAGGAGGATTTACATTTCTACATTGCTAGCACTGACTCCTCTAGGCAGAAGTGCTGAGGACAGAAAAAGACCTCTCTGTTGAACAGCAGATATATGATAGCCCTTCCCACAAGCAATGCCTCGTTCTGACTTAAAACTCCAGGTAAAGCATACACCTACTTTGGGGAACAAAACTACTCTATCTTTAAACTCAGCCTCATCCTCACTGAACAGCAGCTCCTTTCTTCCAATCCCTTTCAGTTTACTAAGTTAAAAAAAAAAACAAAAAAAAACTTTTTCTGTTTCTGTTACTACCCTTTGTAAGGTCTGACTCAGCTTGATTTTTCACTATTCTCACTTCATCTTTACACTTCTTGACCTCTAAAACAGAGTTTTTTGTTATTTATTTGCTATCAGTTCTTTTTTTCCATTCTTCGTAGGCTCTCGGTCTACTCCTAACAGCTTCTTTCTGGTAGTTATTCATTCAGTGAGGTCTGGATATTCTTCCTACAAGCTTTTTCCTCTTGCTTGGCATGCAGAACTGTAATGGCTTTAGCATCTTTGACTTGAAAAAGTTCCAGACCTCCTCCACATCGAGTTCCTCGGCTGAGTTTACTAACTGGCTCCCTTACTTTATCAGTTTGTTCTTTGAAATCCGCAAGCTTAATTACACACCGGTTTATACTTCCATTCAATTTAATCTAAACGACTTGTGCTCACCTAATCTAAGGTTATTTTCTGTGGCCATCTGTTCTACAGAGTCTACCAGAAACAACCTTGAAATAACATTGTCTTTTGCTGGGCCCTCAGGAAAGCTTTTGTCCAAGTCCTGAGCTAACTGGAGACAAAGAAATTGTCTCGAGGGTCTTGTCTGCAGAAGCACAAGCACTGCAGCACTCCAAGCACAGTTCTAACAACTTACTGCACTTGTAGTAAAGGAAGCACAGCACTGGTTTTAGCTGTATTTCTGGGGAAGACATAGCTTTCCTCCATCAAAAACCATGCCATTATTTGAAATCACAACTCAGCTTCTACCACATACAACAGCAATAGTAAGTAGCAGTTGTTTTCACCATGCTGCAAAGCATCTTCTAACTTGATCTCCCAATTCAGATGTTACTGAAGTTCAGCCATCCCTCAAACTGTTGACCATTTTCTATCCCTGGTTCTCTCAAGGCAACGGGACAAGCTGTTAAAAAGGCTGGTAACATCCACTTCCTGTTATACAAATGACATTTATTTGTAGTAATCCAAATTCGTGACTCCAGACATACAAGATGTTCGAAGTATGTTATGCAGTGAAGAAGTCCATTTTACATTACTACTCCACAAGAGATGACTGTCCTTTCGAAGTAAATGCAGATTCTCTGCCCTCCCAAGCAAAAGGAACAGAAAATTTAAAGCAAAACAACTCAAATAAAAACCCACTGAGTTCCAGAGCTCTCAAGTCCCCCCTTTTCTGCCTTCTGCAAATTAAGCAAATGCACATACACTGGAAGCATTAAAAAGGGACAACTTCACCTATATTTACGGCATCAGTCAGAACAACACCAGAACTTAGCACATAATTTTAGTATTTGAGTTTTAAAGCATACAGGACAACTGGAAAGGATACACTAAAGTGATGTGGAAGCAATTTGACGACTGATGAAAACATCTGCAAGTGAAACAGATACAAGTTCTCAACCAAGTTTGTCAAAAAAATAAAGAGAGTAGTGAATAAACTGCAGCAGATAAATACTGCTAGGGAGAGGAAATTCTGATTGGTAAAGAGTTTTTCAGTCTAGCTGTGAAAGTCAGAGGAAGAACTGATTGGAAGCTCACAGCAGATAAATTCAAATGATAATGAAGCGCAGTGTCAAAGGAGTGAGGATGATTAATGACAGCAGCATACTACGAAGAAGGTGATGGATTCTCCATCTCTAGAGGTCTGCAGAGCAAACGCATCCATCTTCTCAGAAAACGCTTGCTGCCTTGGTGCAAGTTATTTATTTTGCCCAATGCTGAGGTAACTGAGCAAGGTATAAGTTTCAGAGACAGACAGGCAGCCTGATTCTACGTCTGCTTCTGGCCTTACATTCCCAAAAATCTGAATGATGGCAGCAGATTTCTCCACATATCAGCAGGCCATTCTCTTCACCATCACCCTGCCCTTTTGGCAGCTCTGGGAAGCACATTTCTGAGATGTAAACCTGAAAAGTGAGAGTATCTAGTTTGTTTGGCAAGGGCTTACATGCTTGCACATACGTGCCGCCTAGCATCTCAGCAGGCCCCAAAACTCACAGCCTTTAGAGACAGTGGAAGTCAGCCACTAAAACTGGAATATCGTATTGTCAATATTGTTTGTGCTATACATAAAAATGCAGAAAATGGGATCACACACCATTTTAGAGGAGTTATAGGGGCATCACGGGACCACCTCTCACCAAACTTCCAAATAATGTGGTACTCTGCTATCTCACAACCTCTGTATCTCACCAGCTGAGAAAGGTCGGTGTTCATCTTACCCTGCGCCCAGCCTCGTTGTTCTGCAGGTTCATCAGCATGCGAGCCTGCTCCTCGGAGCCTCTCACGTAGTTCTTCTCCCTCTCCTTGGCATCCACAAACTCCTTGGCAAAACGGTACCCGTACTCCACGTTATCCCCGCAGCCGCCCCACAGCCAGTCTCGGGGCAAGTCCTTGGGCCGGGCCGTGCGGCTGCAGCCACAGCTGGACAGCTCTCCTTCGCGGCAGGCACGGCTGATGGCGTTCACCACCCCGGCGGCGCTGACGGCATAGGTGAAAGCGGTCTCTCGGCTACCTGCAAGGGAATACGAGAAGCAAATTAATGACAGATGAAGCTCTTTTAGCAAACAGTGTACAAAATTAACTGTTTGACCTTCACCAACCTGCTCTGGTTGAAGAGAACTACCCTAACATAGGCTGGCATCTCTTTTGTGTTTTCCTTCCGTAATAACAGCCCCAGGCAATTGCCTGCCCAGTGCTGGCAGTTTCTGTGTGACCAGGAGCAAAACCAAACCTGATTCTGACATGCACCAAGAAAGGAGCTGAGATTGCTGATACAGCCTGGAAGAATGTGTCTGTCATGACTTTGTAGTCCTGTTCCACAGGGACTATTATTTTTATTACTCTTATGTTTGCCCAGTTAAGAGCTCTGGAAATGCTAAGTCTTGCCCAAAAGAAACAGTAACGCCGTAGGCAGGGGCTGCTCAGCCTTCTTTCCCTCTCTACTTCAAGTCAACCCTTAGAATCACAGAATCATTCTGAGTTAGAAGGGACCCTTAAAGGGCATCTGGTCCAACCCCCCTGCAGTGAACAGGGACACCCACTTGCAGATCAGGTTGCTCAGAGCCCCGTCCAGCCTGACCTTGGGTGTCTCCAGGGATGGGGCATCCACCACCTCTCTGGGCAACCTGCTCCAATGCCTCACCACCCTTATTTTAAAATACTTCTTCCTTATATCCAATCTAAATCTTCCCTCTTTCAGTTTGAAACCATTTCCCCTCGTCCTGTCAGAACAGACTCTTTAGCAGTCTGTCCTTTTTTCTTATAGACCCCTTTGGATATGGAAAGGCCACTCTCAGGTCACCTCGCTGCCTTCTGTTCTCCATGCTGAACAGCCCCAGCTCTCTCAGCCTGTCCTTGGAAGGGATGTGTTCCATCCCTGGGATCATTTCTATGGCCCTTGTCTGGATGCTCTGATTTTAACCAGGAGGAACCAGGTTATTTATCTGCTGAAAGTACAGCTGCTGCCACCAAATCTGCGAAAAGCCATTGAGAACAACCAGTGAGGCTGAGGCTGTGCAAGGAAAGCACTTCATATCTCCAGATACCAGTCGAGGAGTGTTTCACTTCAACTGGGTCAAGCATATTTAAGGGGCACATCTAATTTCATTTTGGCTAAATACGGTCGGCTGAGACTTGATTCAAAATAAACTGTAGGAAACCATTTTTCCACTCAAAGGCAGAAGCTCTCCCAACACCTACAGAACCGCAGTGCTGGAAGAAGTCAGACTTTCCCGTGCAGACAATAAATGCAAAGACTTAGTGAAGCCCAGAGAGGTGGTGGATGCCCCATCCCTGGAGACATACAAGGTCAGGCTGAACAGGGCTCTGAGCAACCTGATCTAGCTGTGGGTGTCCCTGTTCACTGCAGGGGAGTTGGAACAGATAACCTTTAAAGGTCCCTTTCAACAGTGATTCTATGATTATATGACTTTCTGCTTGCACACACATGAGACAGCCCTGTTCAGGATGCATCCCAGCAGCTGCTGCAGATCTCCTGCTCTCTGCTACTGGTACAGGTTCACTGCAGCCAGAGTCGGGCACCAGCACAGCCACAACACTGCAGCATGGGCCAAATGCTGTGAATTGCCATGGCTCTGCAAGGGGGGGGCAATCCACAACTGCACTATCACCATACACTGTAATAAATACCTAAATCAACACCTCCAGAGTTACTATATGCGTCACCACACTCTCAGGTGATAAAGAGTACAACTGCCAAAGCTTTGTAGAATAAGCAATCTGATGCTGGTGGGCCACAAACAGCGAACCCCAGCAAGAGCTGACCTGCAGATGCTCCCCAATAAATCAGGATGCTCCCACAGGGCAGGTGCCCCAGGAGCACTTTGTCACCACGCTCAGTGCCAGCTCCCCCAGCAGGACCCAGCCCGATGCCTTTGGTATGCTCTTGTTCCAATTTGCATGTGCCAACACTCTGCAATTAATAGCGGCTTATCACCAGCTTAGTGGTAATGATCCAAGACAAAGGCGAGGCTGTGAATGGCACCCACCTTGCAGAGCAACTTGGGATTCTTTCTTTTTTTTTTTTTCCCTAACTGAGGACTGTACACTAAGGGCTTCTGCCATGTGCTTTACAAAGAATGATAAAATGCTGAAGGACACAGCATGCAAGGGAGTCATAAGGAAGAAGATTATGCCCCAAGAACCTTCCCAGACCGAGAGGCAAAGAGGAGAGTCAAGATAATTCAGCTGACACCAGCCCATAGGGCAGTTCTGGTCCTTTTGCAGTGACTAGTCCAGCTTTTTAAATGGCATGGCTAGTTTTAAGGTAATGGTCCACTGTGCAGCTTTACCACTGTGCCCACGTTGTGGGAGCCCAGCAGACAGAGCAGTCTTCCTGTTCAGTGCCCTGTGGGAGCCGCACTCCTGGTACCTGGAGAGATGGAAATACGCACAGGCACAGGACCTCCTGGGGCTGCAGCTTGCTCAGCAGTGGCTGCATGACTTCAGGTGCTTAGGATCCCTAACGCCGGCTGTGATTCCTGTGCTGTGACAGGCTGGCTTTGCACTTTCACTGTCCCTGTTTAAGCACCCACATGTTTCAGATGGAGCGGCACTCAACTCGTGTGCAGTCCCCGCAAAAGGAGCTCAGGATGGTGCAGTTCCCAGATCTGCACAAGTTTGGGATGGTGATGGGAGAGTCTGCAACAAGCAGAGTAGTTTTTCTTCCTGACTGTACGTGACGCAGAACAAACCATGGTGCTCAGCTGACGCAGCTTTAGTTTGGGAGGCAGAATCTGACGTGTGCATGAAACCCTTTGCTAACAGAAAGCAAATTGGTAGCCAGTAGCTGTGGGCTTTCACATCCTTTGGTTGGTCTCTTATTTCTGCTCCTCTAACATGCTTCCAGCCTTGAAAAAGCATTAGGATGTCACCCTATCTTCTCAGAACCTATCTTAGTCCACACTACTACAGCATCACCTCAGTGCTGAGTTCTTCCCTAAACCTGTGTCCTGCAGGTGGGTGCCTGCCACTCTGCTGCTGACAGTCAGGGGCTGTGTGGGCTCTGCCACCCCCCTCTGCCTGCTGGGCATCAGGCCTCCCGGATCTGAAAGAGGGAAACAGGAGAACTGACCCCAGCCAGGAGAATGAAGCGAAAGAGAAGGAAGTGTGTTGCTCTAGCTTTTTCTAATGGAAAAGCTGTAGCTTCAAAAGACTAAAGGGAAAAAAAAGCATTTCCCTGAAGTGTTCCTGTCTCCGGGAAAAGTATTTCTCTTTGTTCTTGTCTTTTTATGACTCCTTTTCTCTATTTTGCATTTGAAAAGGCAGAAGAGATAAGATCTATGGCTCCAAAGAGGATGGACCATCCTGGAAGCCCCCCTCACCCTCTGCAGATTGCTCTGCAGGAGATGACAGGCTGTGTATTCCCTCCTCCTGCAGGGACATGCCAACACGGACTTCTTGGGTGCTCTGCCCTCTTCTACATAAACATAGAAATAAGAGTGTATTTGCGTATAATGTATGAATACACACAAATGCCATCTAAAATCTGTCTTGACAGGACAAGAAGCATCTTCAGAAGGATGAATTTTGTATGTCAGAAGTTACTGTTGTTGAATAAGCAAGGAATTACATTTGAAAGCTAAGGGTGATTCTCACGATAACACAAACACTAGGAAGAATCAACATTTAAAATGCTGCTGACTTCAGTGCTACAGATTTCTCTGCAAATCCCTGTCTTGACAGGCTGCACTGTCTTGCTAGCATACACAGAATGAAGGCATAGTGACTGAACACAGACCAGGCGGCTCTCCCATTCCTGTGCTGAGCCAAGCGCTGCGAGGTGGGAAGGAAACCAACCTTCCAGGTTACTGAGTGAACGCTCTCCTGAATTTCTCCCAGGCTTTGGACTTGGCCAGGGTAGGTTCTCCTCCCCTCAATAATCTAAGGCAGCTCAGGAAGTCACGTAGCATATGCCATGCCTGCAGCGGTGGGTGGGCAGCCGCGGGTTGCTGGCACACCGCACACCTTCTGGGCCCTCCTTATCTCCTTCCCCCTCTCCACATCTCCCTGGCATGTCTCTGCAGATATTCCAGTCTCCAGCCCCTTCTCATTCCATTGGCACCACGTGCAGGGATAGGGCTGTGGTCCAGGATTGGGTTTAGGGGCTAAGAACAGGAGACAGGCACACAGCATGAACGCGGGGAAGAATGGCTTTATAGCTGACGTGACCTGTGAGATTAAGGGGTTTGTTTTCTTATCCTAGCATCTCACTGTGAAGTCAGCAGAAGTAAAACCAGAAGGTAGAGCCAAGAGGGAGGAGGAGAGGCAGCATCCCCCTCCACAGCAACTATCGCACACTTGGACATCAGCAGTGAGTCTTCAGAAACCCTCCAGGCTGCCTCTGCTGTCCATCTCCTTGTTTTGGAGAACTAACACCCCTGCCTGAAAGCACTCCCACAGAGCAGGGATCTAAAGGATTTAAGAGCTCTCTGCTGGGACAGGCTCTTAAATGGTGGGCAGCCACAGGTCATTGCCCCATAGACACCAGCAGGTCCCTCCCAGAGATTCTGCAGCACAAACCAAACAGCAGTGGGACCACTGGAAACAACCAGCACACATTCACACCACCTCTGTCCTGTCAAACCCCGAAACTATTCCCACTTTAAGCTAAAAGCGTCAAATTCATTTTGAAAAGGACGTCATAGAATCACAGAATCATTAAGGTTGGAAAAGACTTCTAAGATCATACAGGTCAGCCATCAGCCCATCCCTACCATGCCTACTAATCACATCCTCACTGCCACCTCTACAACAGATCTTGAACACCTCCAGGGGCAGTGACTCCATCACCTCCCTGGTCAGCTGTGCCAATGCCTCACCACTCTTTCTGAGAAGTTTTTCTTAATATCCAGTCTGAACCTCCCCTGATGCAACTTGAGGTCATTACCTCTCAATCTACTGCTGTTATTACCTGGAGAGAGGCCAACCCCCACCCTCACTAAAACCTTTCAGAGGTATCACTCATCTCCCAACACCTATCTCTTCCCCTCCTCCCATGTGCCCACTGATCTTTCCTGACTGTTTTCCATCCTTCACCTCCCATCCCCTTCAGTTCACGCTATTTTTCTTCTAGGTTTGGAACATCCCTGGATCAGCCTGGGGCTGCAGGAAAGTGCTGGAGAAGAGGGCTCTTTCCATACACCCTTGTGGGGTCACTAGGATCTCTCTAGGAATCTGCATGTTTCCTCATTCTTTGGGACATTAAATTACACAGGAGGGAGGGACACCAGACGGGTATTTGCTGTCCATTCCCTCTGGCTGGGTTGCAGTTTTCATACCCTGAAGCACAAGCCCTACTGACAACCTGGGATTGCGCACTGCCTCATCTGGCCACCACCCTTGCTATCAAACAGTGAGAGATCAAGGATGCACAGATGCTTTGGATGTGTGTCAGCAGCTGAAAGTATGTGTCAGGAAATGGCGTTTCCCAAGGGCGCATCCCAGGGAAGAGGGGATTTGTTGGGGTGTGAGCGGGACAGATGGGCAGAAAGGCTGGGCTTGGAATGGCTCTGATGGGCTGGGCTAGGGACTGACATGCAGGAAAATCCCTGAAATTCTCCAGAGAGACATGTAAGAATTTCAGGATTGAATGGAAGCGATCACCCCAGCGCCCAATTGCCTTGACATTAAAGCTCTCAAGCTTTCTGAGTGAGCCTAAAAGACATTAAGAGATGCTGGGGGCAGCCGAGGCTGCAGGAAACGGTTCTCCATCCCTTATTAAGTGCTCTCCCTGACCCTAGAGCTGAGAAGTAGCGCTGGCCCTGGATTCTTCAGCGTCAGCTGCGCGGGTGGGACACAGAATCCCTCCTCACAGGGGCTTGAGTATGTGCATGTGTGTGTGTGAGTGTGTGAGCGGCTGTTTTAACACCTTTTCTTTATTGTCCTGGCTGTCGGACACATCAAACCCAGCCCGGATTTCTCAGTTTCTTGCCATCAAATGATTGCATTTCAAAAGAAGCCGGGACAATGCAGGCAGGTCACACCTCAATTCAAGTGCAGCGATGGCCTGCCAATGTGCCCCGCACAGCCAGCAGGGGCAGGAATTATAAAAATCCCTTCGGTTTACACAGAAAACAGCGAAGAAGGGAGGAGGGAGCCGATCCCAAGGGGGGAGCCCATATTTCCCGCATCTCAGGGCCACACTCCCTGTCCAAGGGCACTCCAGATGCTGCGAATGATAATGTAGGTCCACTGTCCCCAGCTCCAGCTCCTCTTCCCACCTCCAAACCAGCACACAAACACAAGCAGCCCATGTCCCACCTCCCTGACTCCAGCGGTGGCTCACTGAGGGCAGCACCTGCGCACCAGTGAATGGACAAGCTAAGGGCAGCGTTAGGAGAGGTGCTAACGGGGCGCATCGCTTCCACGCGTGTATTTAAAGGGAGAACGCTGCTCCTACCTATTTTCATGACTCGGCCGAAGACGGAGGTGTTGTCCACCGTGCTGCAGTTCCACCTGCGCTGCCGGAACTGGTATTGGCACTCCTTGATGGCACTGCGGGCCCCCTCGCCGATGAACACCATGTGCTCCTGGTAGAGCTGGCACAGCTTGCGCTGCCCCGGGGACAGCCCCGGCAGCTGGCTGCACACGGGCTGCGCGCCGATGATGTACATCTCCGGCCTCTGGATGGGGTTCATGGCCAACGACCTGCACGGAGAAACGTCCCACGGAGGTTGCGGTCCCACAAGCGCTGCCAGTCCCAAGGGCTGAATGCGCTTTTCGCCTTCCCCTCCCCGCGCTGCCAGATGTGAGCCTTTCCCAGGGCTCGAGCGGGAGAAAGCCGGCATGGAGAGGGGTACAGAGCTCGGCACTTTCTCTGCGGGAGCGGAGCGGGAGCCGCTTCGCACAGAGCGCCGGCAGCGGTGCCCTCGGGCCGCGCTGCGCCCGCTGCTCCGGTAAAGGGGCTCTTTTGGCAGCGGACAGGAGACCTCACCAACCCTCTTCCCCATCACTCCCTCACGCAAAGCCCGACCCCGCACCGAAGCCCCCCGGGACGCCGGCATCCCACCTCCCCAAAACCTTTGCGGGACCTTTGCGGGCAGGCAGCGAGAGCACCCCTTCGCCGCCGCTGCGCTCCGCCAGCCCCGGGACGCCCCCAGCCCCGGACAAAGGCTCCGCTCGCAGCCCCGCGCCCCGCTCACTCGCTCGCTCACTCACCACCAGGAGTTGGCGTCGGCCACCGGCGAGGTGCAGCTGCAGAGAAGAGCGGCGGCGAGCGCCAGCCTCGGCCCCGTCATGGTGGGCTGCGGGCGGCGGCGGCGCTGGGGCAGCCCCCGCGGAGGCGGCCGCCGGCACGGGGCGCCCTGCGGAGGAGGAGGAGGAGAAGAAGAAGAAGCGCTGAGCCCAACGGCGGGGTCTGCGTCCGGCGGGGCGCGGCCAGCGCGGCCCCCGGCCCCCGCCCATCCCACGGACCCTCCCCCGGCCGCGCCCCCCCCGCCCCCGACGGCAGCGGGGAGTCCCCTCCACCCCCGCCCCCGTCCTCCCCGCCGTCCTTCCCCCGCAGCCTCGGAGCCGGCTTTGAAGCGTCCCCCCCCGCCCCAGCGCCGGTGGTCCGCCGGTGCCCCTCGGACGGGCCGGTGCCCTCAGCCCCGCGGCGGCAGGTGTGCGGGAGCCGTCGGGGCGCTTCAAAGCGCCGCACGCTCGCCCCGCCGCCTTTGTAATGCGGGGGCCGGCTCGGAAATGCTCCCCTCCTCTCCGCCTCCCCGAAACCGCCTTCAAACGCAGCCCCGGGCAGGGGGAGGCTCCGCGGCGCTGCGGGTCGGGCCGGCACCGGCGCCGGGCGGCTTTATGGGCAGGAGGAGGGGAGGCGGGTCGGGAGGTGGTGAGAGGTGAGAGAGCTCCAAAGGCCCTCCGGTCCCAACAGCCCGACTTGGGCAACCCGGCAGCCCCTCGGTGTACCGCCCTCAACCCCCGACCCACGCGGTACCACCAACTAAATAACGCTCCTTACGCCGCACGGAAACCCACATCACGGCTCATTCCATCCTCACCGTCCCGCCTGACCCCACGCCACACACCACAGACGGACGTCCCCATGGCCACCCTGGGGCCCGGGCATCCCTGGCCGTCCCTTCTGCTGTCCCCAGCCAGGCCCAAGCTGTGCCACAAGCATCCAGCCTTTTGTTCTGCCTCACGCAAGCGTGGCCCAAGCCATGAAATCACCAGACCCAGCAGCTCAGCCCCACTTTAGTATATTTTTTATCAAATTCCTCACGGTGCAATTGCTGCGTTTGTTTGCTGCATGCTCCGCTTTCTGCCCTGTCCAGATGTGCTCTACCTGCAGCTGGTGGCCCGCCTCACCTGGCAGACAGATGTGTGGCCACCAGCGCTGGAATCAGCTTTGGGACAGAAAAGCCTTGTGTGACCCACAGCTTGTGCTCTGCCTGCCCCAGCACAGTGGGATCCACAGAGCGACTGTATTCACACCTTCATACCCTGCCTCTCCCTGCTCCCACGGCCCCGGGCAAGACAGAGGGATGGTGAAGGCTGTGTGCAGAGCCATGGCTGGATGCTGCTTCTATAGGGAACAGACAGAATGGAAAGTTTATCTCTGGGAGTCTGGGGAGGAAGGAAGTTGTGTATGGATGAATGGCTTTTCCATGACAAACAATGAGGCTGCACAGACACGGTGTGATGTCACCCCAAGAATTTCCAAGCCGGCTTCAGATATAGAAAATCCTTTTGCTGAAGGAGAAGACCGCGTGTCACCTTTCCATTTCTACACAGCCAGTGAAAAGAATTATGGCAAAAAAAAAAAAAAAGAAGAAGAAAATAAAGAAAGTCCCAGCTGTTTCATACACACACGCACAGCATGCACCATGCAAATAAATGATGCAGAGGGAGAGGTGCATCTCTGTGATTTGCCCTCACCACGTCTCCTTGTTGCTGCTGAGGAAGGAGATGCTGAACTGCAGCTCAAGTCTGCCGCTGACACAAGTGGCTGTGGATGGTGGAGATGCCTGTAGCTTTCAAATCAAAAGCTGCAGAGTGTTTGGCCGGTCGTGTGAAGAACACCACGGATCCCCCTTCCTTGCTGCTATCTGTTGCTACTTCCCCTACGGGTCTTTAAAGGAGCTTTTGGTTCGGTAAATGAAAAGCTTGGGTTAACACTCTCAAGCCTCTGCTGCCCTAGGCAACTGCCTACTGTGCTGCCTAAAATTAGTACCTCTGTTTGCCTTTATTCAGTGTTCAGAGGTGACAACTGTGCCTGAAGCACAAGTTTATACACCAAGTGTTGGAAGTCACGCTGCAGAACCCTTTCCTGATGCTGTTCTTGCCACGTGCACTGCAGCGAAGATGCGAAGCTCCAAGAAAGAAGGGGAGGTGGTGTCCATGAGATCATTCCCAAAGATTTGGCAGGAGGCAAAAAAGTTGAGCCCTGGCTGGAAGACAGCCCTGATAAGTTGGAAAAGGAGAGCTACTCAAGCAAACTCCTTGTCTGATATTGACTGCTTTCCAAAAATTTAGGATGTCCTCAAGCGTGACACAGATCTTTACTGAGTGCTATAAGCAGAGTTGAAAGAAAGCGATTCTTTAATGGTCACCGTTCCTGCATCTGCTCCAGTTTGTCCCAGACTGGGGAGAACTGGACGTGCATTCTTCCTGCCACGATCACGAGCCTCTTTCAAGTTCCTGTTTATTTCTGCAACTTGACTGTGGTTCAATGCCTGTTTCTCATGCCTCGCAACATCCAGCACGTCCAGAAACATTTTCCCCCTCTGGACTGACATGAGACACTTAGTTGAGATGGGAAAAATATTCACTTAAGTAGAATCTTCTCTATTCAAGGAGCCAGCAGAGAGACACAGGGCTCCACTCTTGGGAAAGAGGGTTAACGTGTAAATCCGTGCTGTGGGCAGCACCATGAGATGGACCGTGCCATACCACATTACTCTACCTTCACTTCCAGCAGCCAGGCTTGTTTTTAACCACAGCTCTTACAAAGGCTTCAGAAATCTCATCAAAGTTGCATATCTGCCCATTCCACTCAATCGGTTTTATATGGAATATAGCTTGGTCCCTTGCAGCTTTCACCCAGAAACCACATCATCTGTTCTCCTCACAACCCATACCCATTTGTGATTCTGCTGCTCCTTGCTGATAACCAGTCCCTCCCTCAGCACTGTGCCACTGTGGTGCCACACTGGTGCCCACACTGCCCAACCTAAATGTGCTATTTTATATGTATTGTGATTATTACTTCACCTGCAGCAGTCAATCCACAGGTCCAGCTTACAATAGGTGAAGCACCCCAGTGCCCAACTCTCTCCCTGTGCCGTTGCCCTGCTGACTTGGTGCACATTGTCTTTCTCTGCTGGAAGGGCAGATTATTTCTGTTTATGTTCTGCTCATTTCTTTGGTACTTCTGTGCTCGGTTTGATCTCCTGATATGCTCATGCACTACCTTTTTCTGCATCTCATCACCTGCCACCCTGCTGACAGATCCAGATTTCCTTTCACCGCTACCTTGCTCTTTCATTTTTCCACGGCTGCCCTGGCCAAGGGCACTTGGTCTCATTGTCACCAGGCCATGTCATGCACAAATGCCAAGACATAGCTGCCAGCCTCGGCAGCCCAGTGACAGCTGTCCCTGGAGTGCCTAGCCATAGAGAGCAACAGTGGTTCAAGCATAGAATCATGAAGGTTGGAAATGACCACTAAGGTCATCAAATTCAACCACAGACTCACCCCCACCCTGCCCACTGACCCTCAGTGCCACATCCACACGGTTCTTGAACACCTCCAGGGATGGTGACTCCCCCACCTCCCTGGGCAGCAGTATTAAAACAGCAACAACAAAGCACAGAAAAAGCTGAAGCTATATATAAAGTCCTGTTGACATCAGATTACACTAATTTAACCAATTCCAGAACTTATTTATCTTCTGTACTACCACATTTCTATTCAGTGTAAGAATATCCTATTAATGCTACATGCAACAGATTTAAGCTAAACCTGTTCAGACTGTTTTGGAAATAGACTGCATATACATTTGTACCAAAAGAAGATCATTTTATATCTCACCTCTATTTTAGTACCAATCACACGTACAATTCTAACTCCAGGAAAAAAAAAAGTGTTGTGCTTAATATCACCAATTTGTAAAACCAATTTGTAAAATGCTATTTTAACATTATTATGCTCTTAAATAAAGTTTGCAATACAAATTTTCAGCAGAATGCGCATGAATGTGCATTCATGCAAACTTAATCTGTATCAGTATATCAGTGTTGTGCAGGTTAGTCATCCTCTAAACCAAAAGTAAAGCCTTGAAAGTTAAGATCACTTAAGAACAGTGCAGCTCAATCATTCATTTACTTTTTCTTTTAATTAGGTAATAGCAAAAAGGAGATGTGCGACATTTCAGGAACAAACCATACAATCTTATGAATAAAATTTCCAAGCAGCCTGAAAGCTGTTTGCTTTATTTGGGTCCCTACACTGCCTGCAAACTCACCAGGCAAAAAGCTGTGACTCTTTCTCTAATTTCCAGTCTAAAAGTGTTTGTGGTCAGCTCACACCCATTTGTTTGTGTTGCCAGCTCATCCCTTAAAGCTCTGCACGCTGAGCCTGAGGCTGTAGCCAGCAATAGGGTCCCATAGGCAGAAGCACTGGGACCATGCATACCTCTGCCTCCCCCCATGGGAGCTCATAGCAGCCCTATGCTGCAGGACACTGCCCTTCCAAGGTGATGATGTAAGCAGAAGTCAGCATATCGACACTGATACACACAGATCCAGTCCCACGCTCCTGCCTCCCCAGTTCTGCAAGCCTGCCCTGTCTCTCAGCAGAAATAAAACAGAACTGGAAAGATCCCCAAGTCACTGGTGTGATCCAAAAACGATTCCAAGAAAAGCTCCTTTTTTTCTGCCTCTCTCCTCACCACAAGTTGCAATGTGGCTGCTTGCTGGTGGTGCAGGCACTACTAGAGCGGAGCCCCATCTCTCCTCCCACAGCTCTGCCAGCCCAGCAGGGCTAACAAAAGCAAAAACCTGCTTTGCATCTGGAGAGGCAGCGCAAAGTGCCACAGTCTGCTCTCCACCTGCCCCCAGGGCTGCAGAGCACACTCTGCCCCTTGCACATCCTGCATTGCACTGGGGGAGCTCTATCCTGCCAGGAGCTCAGCTTCAAAAGGAGGAATCTGATTTCAGAAGCACCCCTGGAAAGCCAAGCTTCCACTTTCCTGTTTTTGACACAAGAAAATGTCATAACCACCGGAATCAAAACTCCAAGGATTCAATTATCTGGAAAATGCAGGTGCTTATCTAACACTTCATCTGCTCTGAAAGTGCTGCTCAAGCCCGA